CTCAATGAGATGCATGCACATGCCCACACAGCTGGGTAGCACCAGTGTCAATCAAGTCGACTCAGAGTCCAAATGCACCATGAGCAACTTGCAGCTCACACCATCCAATCTTTCTCCCCGCCTCCCCTGCCCTCTCTCTTAAAGGAACTAGCTGCACTGGAATTGTGATTGGGGATTTCAACAGCAGCAGGCAAGGGAATCAGGAATATGATGCATCACACTTCCTGGCATTCTCAGACACTTGTGTTGGGGGGACATTGTACATACTGGCATGTTATACTGCAGCTCAGTGGGGTGTCCAGTATCAATCAGAGGCTCAGAAACAGGCGCAGGGTTTTAATCATGCTTTTAAGACTTTTTTTGAAGACTTTGCTCCCTTTCTTTTGTTCTTTGGGTGGAACGAGTTAGTTTGGAAGCAAGTGCACAGCCATCACGCTCAACACACACATGCCACACGGCGTGGACGAGGCCAAATCCAGAGCAAGCGGCTATCCCACCTTACACCTAATTATGCTGCCAGAAGAGGCAGAAATGCTTAAGTCAGGTTAGCACTGGCTTTACATGAAACCAAGAACAGAAGGGGAAGAAATAAGTATAAAGATGAAAAAGGAAGTCAAGAGAGAGGAGAGAGAGACTGTTTTTTCATAGGAAACACTGGAATCCACTGGGTAAGTGATTAATGCATGGATCCTATTTGTGCTTTATTGTTTTGTGGGGTTTTTTATTTTGTTTGTTTGCATATTTATTTGGGGCATTATGAGGTTAAATTAGAAAGCAAATAACTATCATTAAGTTATATATTCTCTGAGACATGATTGATCTTTTAATATTAAAAAAAAGGAAAACTAATTGAATTTTTATATACTGCAGTCATTCTTTTGCACTATGGTTGGCACTGGTGACTTCCATGTAGGGGCAGGGACTAGCTCTAAGGGAAAGACAACTGTCTTCCAGGTCTCACATGTCAGCAGCCACTTTTAAAGGACATTCATTGCAAAAGTGCTCGGAATCGTATTCAGCAAGTCTCTCCCATCTCAACCTTAGGAACCGCATGCTGAGCTCAGCTCTCTTCTCGTGTCCAGTGCTGGGTGGGATTTCCTTGGTAATATTTTCACTGAACAAATATTTATGAAGTCTACCACTTAGGAATGAGTTGGCTTGCTGTCATTTCCCTCTGTGGTTTCTGAACAGAGTATTTCAGATGCATTTTTCAATTCTAACTGCCCAGTGAGGTAGCCTCTTGCTACACATGACCACTGAGACCTGGCCTACAGGTAAAGTCCTTTTCAGGCTGAAAAAAGTTACTAGGAAATAAGGAATTTAGTACACTCTTAATAAATTTAGATTGGTTATACAGTAAATCTGTGACAGGTAGAACCTTTGTAAAGTGGAAATTTGTTAAAAAAGGGAAATTATTTTGCCTTCAATGTTGTTATGAGCCATCGAGTCTGAACCGACTCTTGGCTGAGTGGGTTTTCAGAGCTGTATTCACATGGGAGGAGACTGCCCATCTTTCTCTACTGGAGTAACTAGTGGATTTATACCATTTGCCTTTGGGTTGACAGTACAACTCCTTACCACTAGGCCTCCAGAGCTGCACAGAAAGATAAAAAACAGTGATGACGATACCCAATTTTGATTGAATTTGCAAGAGTCAGAAAACCAAGTCAGTCCTGACTCCCATAATCTGGTCTCGTAGATTTTACTCTATATTGAAAAGGTATGTGAATAGATTACAATAAAATTATTGTTAAAATTAATTTTACTTATTATGTTTTATTTTTAAAATATTACTACTGGAAAGTGTAGTGATATATGTGTGACTTACATTTTACTGTGATTGGACAGAGGTGACTTCTCTGCCACATGGATTTTCACCAGGGCAATAAAAGTTGAATATATGGTCTTGTCTTGATTTCTTGTCAGCCATAAATCTCTACCAGCTATATCTCATGGGACTATACACAAAAACGTGGCAGATGACAAAGTAGAATAAAATGTTTGGTAACCAATTCATCCTAGGTTAAACCAGGCTGCTCCTTGGAGGCAATGATTCTGAGGCTTTGTCTGACATACTTTGGACATGTTGTAACGAGGGACTGGTCCTTGGAGAGGGACATCATGCTTGGGAGTGTGGAGGGATGGCACAAGAGGGGAAGACCCTCTATGAGGTGGATTCATTCAGTTGACTGGGGTAATTGGGATGGGTGTATCAGAGACAGTGTGATTGGCACAGGATAGAGCAGGGTTTAGGGCTGTTGTACATAGGGTCGCTATGAGTTGCAAGATACTCGACGGCACATCATAACAACAACAACAACAACAACAACAAATAATATGTGCCAAAGGGTGAACTGAGGAATTAGGAAGTCCAAGGCTGAACTGAAAATTAAAAAGAAAATAATAATGGGCTATTTTCATCCTCCTTGTGGTAAAGATGGAAGCTTCTGGACTGTTCCCCTATCAGCACCTTTAGACCCACTTCACATCACGAGATCCCTCTGCCTGTACCAATGTCATGAGTGAGTTTCCTCCGGTCAGCTCCGTGGCAGCATGCAGACATGCCAGCAAGTGCAGTGATTTCTCAAGCACCTCTCAGCCATGCGGGGATCACTTCACACTTCGGCCAGGTCTAAGAAGACACCTCACCTGCCACACTGGAGAAATGCTTAGATGTGACTAAACAACTCTAAGGAGGGAGTGAAGGCCAAGATTACAGGAGGCCATCTGAGCACGCCTGACCTCAACGGAACTTGAGATTTCCCAATGTCTGTCACAAAGGCCTAAAATAGAGCTGCTTATTTTAACTTCAAAGTGTTTATTGTTTCAGACCAAATGAACCAGGCCACTGAGGAGTAGGAGGGATAGATACTAAGTTCAGGAGGGGCCACAGACTCGGCAGTCATTTCCCACTCAGCATGAGTTGAGCTCCTCTGTGCTCGATTATGTTGCTGCCCACTCAGTTTTTACCCCTGGGGCAGTGTTCGAAATATTTCCTTATGTCAGCAACCAGCTCCCAGGTCTCCTAAAAGCCTTACCTATGTGCTACTAAGTTGCTGTCAAGTCTTCTGGTGACCCTTGTGTGCAGAGAACTATTCTATAGGGCTGTTAAAGCCTTCATTTAGGAAGCAGATCACACACAGGCCGGTCCTCTGAGGAGCCTTCAGGTGGGTTTGAACTGTCAACCTTTTGGCTAGCAGTTAGGTGTTTAATGCCATCCAGAAACCTGTGCTGAGTACTTCGCATCTTACCATCTCCTCACAACTGTCTGATTTCTAAAGACTAAAATGACCCCTCCTTCTGAGAGGGAAGAGCACTTATGCCAGCTTTCCCAGGTAATCTATTTTGTGCTTTTAAACATAATTTTCATTTTCATCTGACTATTATGCTAGGGCTTCTATCTCCAAAAATGACCAACAAGATACCTGGTACTAGTTAGTGCTGAAGGCATGCTATATTGATTAACAGGTTTGCTGAAGAGAATTGTGTTAAAGGTATGCTTGAATCAGTGAGTTAGATTTTTTTAAATTAAGGTTTGGGCAGTAAGGAGAGATGGTTTGAGAAAATTGCTTTTTCTTTTTCTTTTTCTTTTTTTTTTTTAAATACCAAACTATATCTGAGAAATTTCACTAACAGCTGAGAATGACAGGTAGCATTTTGGGCTGCACTGCTAATGGAAAGGTCAGTGGTTCAAGGCCACCACCCGCTCCACAAGAGAAAGATGGGTAGTTTCCACCTGTCAAGATATATGCCTTTGGAAACCCAACAGTGGACTGTTATGAGTCAGAAATGACTCTACAGTGCTGGGCCTTTTCTCAGCCATTATCTTTAATGCCACATGTGTCAGCACAAAAGAGAGTTCACATTGTCATTCCAATTTACCTCAAAGAGATGGAGAAACATCCAGTGAATTTAAGCTCACAGTTTTGAAGGTAAATCTCATTTTAATGTAAATTTCTTAATGGATAAAGGTTATCTTTTACGCACAGCTGTCCAGTTGATGCTGAGTCACAGCAGTTCTCCAGTGAGTTCCCCAAACCATAACTCTTTTCTGGAGAAAATGGACCATCTTTCTCTTGTGGAGTGGTTCGTGGATTCAAACAGCTGACCATGTAATCAGCAGGCCAATATATTATGCACTATAAGCCGAGGACTTTTATTTATAAAGGTCACACTCATAATGTATCTTTTCCATAGATGAGAGAACTTTTTTTTGAGAACTAGAAGAGATCTGGTTATAAGTATATTTACTTTTTTCTATTTGAAGATTTCTGATCTCGGACATTTGCATTCACAGTGTCAAAGGCACCCTAACTTGCTTCCCGTCACCAGATATATTGGCAATAGTGTGGCCACGGGCAGGAGTATCACTTGTAAACTTTGAAACGGCCATAATTGCTAATTACTGTATTAGTAATTGAAAAGCCCATCAATTCTTCTGAATATAAAATGCATGCTAGTATTGTTAATAATATATCTAAACTTGTAAAACAATTTGTTGGACATTCATTGAGAGAGTCTCAATAGAAAGTATTATCTTACTCATCCTGAAACATGCTTGTGGTTACAAAGTTCTGTATTTTGAACACCTCACTTTTAGATGTCTACATAGGCCATTCCAGTTCATATTTCATGTGTAACTTCAAAAACAGTTTGTGTTCTCTTTGGTTTTCCTTCTGAGAGCTTTAAGAGCATTCTCCAGATATGAGCATTCACAAAGACAGTGTTAAACTGAAGTTAAAGCGCACACGTTAGAGCTCAGGAATCTGCCAGCTGATGCATTATGCATGGGGTGCTGTTACCAGTTCTGTAAAATCTCAAGACTTTACTTTTGATCAATGTAAGCTGCTTATGTGGCAGATTTTACATGTGTGCGCTAACACGATAAACGCTAATGCCTGCAGGGTGGTGATTAATGAAGTTAGGCATGCTTGTCTGTTTGATGCAGGTCCAAGGGTGACTCTGGTGAGAGCGCCTTTGCCTAACATGGAAAGCATTACCTTCTTCTTGAACGACTGCTCCACTTCTTGTATATGCAGGCTGCTCGAGACTGACGTTTTGCTGTACTCCTGCTTTTTGTTCAGTCTATTCTTCCAGTCTTCCTCGCCACTCTTCTTCAACAGTGCCAATCTGAGGGCAAACACACAAACCAAAAGGAGTTCAGTACCAAACGCTTAAGTTGTACAAGGTAGGGAGGTGCAAAATCTTAGGCCAGCAAAGAACCATGGCTACCGAATTTGAATTTCATTTATTCTGAAGACAGCAAGTCTGAGGAGAAAAACCCCAGTAGAATTCCCTCTCTGAGATGGCCCAAAAGTTTAAAGTTGATTGAAACATGAAGTTGAAGTATGACTTGCCAGAGAAAGGAGGCATCATCATTATAGCCAAGGAATTATGCTTCCTCCTTTCCCAAAGAGGCTGGGAACATGGAGGAGATAAAAATAACTCTCCTGAGAGAAAAACGTCTCCCTTCTGGTATTTGATAAAATGACATGTCTAAAAAACCCAACTCTTTGCCTAGGAGTAGGAAGTGACTCATTACTGGCCTTCCAGGGGATTTCCAGAGGCTGTAAATTGCATGGGAAGAGATTTGTTTCTCCCTTGCAGTGGCTGGTAGGTTTGAACCACCAGGGCAGACACTTTAAAATGAGCAGCACAACTTCCTACCCACCAAGGAAACCAAAGGAAAAAGAAAAAAAAACAAAACCCAACGAACTCAGCCAAACAAACAAAAAAGACCCCGAAACCAAAACCCAATTACCTCAAATTCAATTCCATCAAATCTATTCTGACTAACAGCTGCCCTCTAATGGGTTTCAGAGGCTGTAAATATTTACAGTAGGGGACAGAAGTATTTATTTGCAGAAAATTCTGCTAAAATGAATTGTAAAACATAAAGCTATAAAGCCACTGATAATCTCTCAATATAATTTATTTTAATTAAGGTAAAAGATGATGTTTAAGATTGTTTCTCTTTCGATATGCTAAGTCATTTTTCTTTTCTTCCAAATGAAGCTGGTCATTCCCAATCTAGCTTCTTAATACAGAAATTAATTCTCTACAAACCCTTAAAAAAAAAGTTTTACTTCAACTTTCCTCAGGGAAAAGCTACACATATAAAAAGAATCTAATTAGCTGAGTTCTTTAGCTAACCTACTTTACTTGAGTTATGGTGAGACTCGATAAAGAGCCGCTTGGCTATTCTAATCACTGAAAGGTTATTTTGGCTTCAACTCGGCTGTTTCAGCTAACTGTATCCTCATGAACAAAGTCAGACAAAACACAGGAACAATGAAAGGCACAAGAATGGAAATCATTAAACGCATTTAAGCTGATTCTCAAACAATTTAAAGACCGTGAATAAAATGTATTGGCTTCTCTTCCTGTTTGTGCCAAGTCTGATGAATCACAGTCTTTCAAACATCATTAATGCACAATCATGAACAATGGATTTTTTTTTTTTTGTTTTGGGGGTGTTAGGTATTCTTTGGTTTTTTTGGTAACAAAAGACATATTACAAAACATTTGCTATTATATTTGCTTTTTTAAACTTCTTATAGTTTTAGGTCAAAGTTCACAGAACAAATTGGTTTTCCATTCAGCAACTCGTGCCCCTCTGGTTTTGTGACAATGATCATCCTGACATACTTAGGCATATGATTCAGTGACATCTATGACATTCAGTTGTCCAGCCATCCCCACTGATAGAACTCTGTTTTTCATGCCCTTACACAGCACGGGTGGTGTGATGACAGACTTGCTGCAAGCTGCAAAGTCAAGCGCATGTACTTCAAAACAAAACCTAAACCCCTTTAAATATTTCCATTAGCATTTCAGGCTGCATCAAGACAAGATTTATCCTTTTTTTTTCCTATTCATCTGAGTGATCCAGTCTTATCCTAGTAAGAATCTAACATGATGAAATAATTAAGCAATTAGTAATTACGTGCTGCATTAAAGTTTTCCAAGTGTCTATAACTGAGGCTTTAAAAAAAGACCACATAAATCAGTATTTTTTTATATCCAAATGAAGCAGTAGTTTCAGTTTATCACCTTGTGAAAATTAGGAATTAGCCTTATTCCTACCCTTCTTGCAAACTGGTCTCAGAAAACAGTTTTCTTTTCCCTCTTAACTTTTTTTTGGCCCAGACCACTGGCTACTTATTCTTCTTGACCACCCCCCAATTTTGAGAGGACAAGATTCCAAATAACTTGAGAGAATTTCAAATTCATCCTCATAAGCAGAATTTTGTAAAAAGAATGAGCTACAGCCTCCACAGAGATTGTCAAAAGGAAGCTCCCTAATGCCTGGGGCAATGACAACTTCATCTGACTGGGGGCAACTCCCAGAACTCTACAACTGATATAGAAAAACAACAACAAACCACCACTACCAAAGCCAGCCAATCAATAATAGAATCCGGAATGATTTCCCTGGACACTTTCTACTCTGCTTTCAACCTAGGTGGTGCAAACGGTTCAGTACTTGAATGCTAGTTTTGAAGCCACTTTAGTGGAAGAAAGGACAGCTAAATTGGTCCTGTAAAGATTACAAGCAAACCCCAAATCCATTGTCACGGAATTGATTTATAGTGGCCCTACAGGACAGAACAGAATTGCCCAGTAAGGTTTCCAAATCTGTAAATCTCTACTCAAAAAGACTGTCCCAGCTCTCTCCCATGGAACAGCTGGTGGCTTTGAAACATTGATCTTCTAGTTAACAGCCTACTTGCCTTAACTGCTGGGCAACCAGGACTCCTTCCATAAAGAGTGTGATTAAGAAAGCCCTATGCAACAGTTGTACTCTGTAATTCATGGTGCTGCCAGGAGATGAAATCCGCTGAGTGGCCAGTTTAACCAAAAATACTTTGCTGATATTCTAAGAGGATTGGATTCTTCTAAGAAACTAGGTATTGTCCTCTTGTCCTCAGCCTAACACATGAGGAACATATGTCCATGGAGGTGAAGCAGTGTGATAGCTGAGACCCCACTGCACGGGGCAGACAGGAAAATAAGATTCCAACCTAGCTCTGCTCTACCTTTCACTTCAGGGCCTGCTAAGCACACAGAATTTTTGCCCTAATGTGTCAGGAATCACTTAATACTCTGGCTTTTTTACAATTACCCCCCACCCCCACCCCCAGGATAGTCTTCAAAGAATTCCTACATCTTCCAAATCTAAAATTTTGCTTCTGGATGGGCTGGCAGAGTCTTCCTAAGGGACTTCCAAAGACGACAGAGGAACCAAAAGAATACGGAGGGAACTGCTTCAGTTGAGCCCACATGGTACTTGGATGCACCCCAGCCTGCAGAGTGCCAACGATGAATTGCTTTAAAATAACATGCACTGAGACTGAAATGTATTACTGCTGTCCCTTTGGATTTCCTATTCTCTGTTCAATAAACTGAGGAGGGCAAGAGATCTTTCCAAATCTGTGCTCTCCCACTGCAGTCTCAAGACCCTTCTAACTCAGCACAGACTGCCACGCACTGGGGAGGGCGGGAAGCTACATGTCTGGTCCTGCACATGATATAAATTACTGCTCGTGCAATTCAAACAACTGTCAGTACTTTTAACATTAGCCAAGGGTAAGTGCTATTTGCAGGGCCTGTGATTGTTGAGAGCCTCGGCATATGCTTAGTCTACAGCTGCCATCCAATGAGTGGTAATGCTTTAGCCTATTAACCCTCGGGGGCTGGCTGGGGGGCCACTGTGAACTTGCACTTGCCAGGCACCCTGGGAAATCTTGACTCCCCTCCCCACAGCTCACCAATTCTCCAGTAGGGAACACTACCCTGGAATGGTGACTTCAACTGCACTCATCTGAGAGCCTTGCTTGATTAGAACAAGTTCTTCAGACTCTTGACAATCACAGCTGGGTCAAATATGTGACAGGCAAGCCACATGCTCTTGATCTCAAGAAGTGTCTCCTTTAAAAATTTCCCTTCATTTCAGAGAATCACAGGCACTGTGGGTTGCAGAAGAGGTTGCACAGTACTGACTCGTGCCCATAGTGGGGAGATCTGGTGGTCCAGTGGTAAGGAGCTGTGCTGTTAACCTGACGACATGCAGTGAGAACCCACCAACTGCTCGGCAGGGGAAGGATGGGCAACCTCTCCTCATGCGATCCAATGCCTGTGAAAAGCCACTGGAGGGTCAGCTATGGGTCAGTTCTGACTCGATGGTGCTCAACAACAGTGCCCATACTGGGGAAGCCCTGGTGGCATAGTTCAAAGCGAGTCTCAGTGCTAACTCATAAGCTGTGCCTCTCTGGTAGTTTGAATTCACCAGTGGCCCTGACAGAAAAAGATGAGCAATTTTCTCCCCTGCAATTTATAGGCTCGGAAATCAGCAGAGGGGCATCTGTGAGCTGGTTTCAATGTAACAGCCCTGAGTGAGTGAGTGCGTGCCTATATGGAGTCTTGGTCTTGGTTATTTGTGTGTTGGGTAAACAAACTATGTTCCTTTTAAGTAAGGGAACAGATGAAAGATCAGGAAAAGAAGGGTAGTTGAGGGAGTTCCTGGTGGTTGATGGAAAGATAGAGGTTCAAGTCCATTCTGAAGAACCTTAGAAAACATGTCTGGTGATCAACACCCTAAATACCATCCATAAAAACTCTACAGGGCACAGCTGCACTCAGAGATATAAGGAGCTGACAGGAATTAAACGCAACAGTAACTTAGAATGTGTTGCTGTCAAGTTGGAATCAACTAATAGCCGCTCCTTCATTATGCTTGCAAGGCTGTAAATGCCACTGGAGGAGTTTGCCCCTTCTCTCTCAAAGCTGCTCATGAATTTGGACTGCCAGCAAAACACAGCCTTTGGGTTAGCTGTGCTGAAACATCCCATTACAAGAAAAGAACTCAGTTTTCTGCGGGGGAGAGGGGAAGATCAAAGACACAGACTTATGGTAATGCAGGAAAATGGTGAAGGGGCCTTCAAAGAATAGAGGGCCCCAGGTCAGAGCCTCCTTGCAGCTGAAGAAGAGTTCTCCAGCTGGCCAAAGGCAGGAGTGAAGGGCAGACTCTTCAGCATTCTAGGGAATTCAACTCTCAATTTCCCACAGTGCAAGGAAGGCCACAAATTAAAGTTTAGTGTAGTTCTTTCAGCAATCAAGACCAGATTTCT